CCAGACATTGTTGGAGAGAGCACGGTGCATGCTCTCTAATGCTGGACTAGAGAGAAGATTCTGGGCAGAAGAAGTGAACATGGCGTGCTTCCTCATCAACCATGGACCTCACACAAGTATCAAGTTTAAGACTCCTTATGAGGTGTGGTACGGTAATCCTGCTTATTACTCTTCACTGAAAGTTTTTGGGTGTCCTGTTTATTATCATGTGGATGAGGGTAAACTGAAACCAAGAGCAAAGAAGGGTGTATTTGTGGGTTACGGAGATGGAGTTAAGGGATTTCGAGTTTGTTCACCTTCTAAGCATCGAGTTATACTCAGTAGAAATGTGATATTTGATGAGAAGTCTATGTTTAACCCCATGTTGAAGGTTACTGTTGTTGAAGGTAGCAAGAATGTTGATAAGCAGGTGGAGCTGCAAACTCTCAATGAGAGTGAGTTTGAGCACCAAGGTGGAGAAGATCAACATGATGAGGATGTCTCTGCAGAGCCAGAAACTTCAGAGTCCAGTGCACGAGCTCAACAGTCTATTGCTTCCGGTAGACCGAAGAGAGCGACTGCAGGAGTACCTCCATAGAGGTATGGTTTCGAGGACATGGTGGCGTATTCATTTCAGGTTGGTGAAGAAGTGGATGCAGGTGAGCCACAGTCCTATAGAGAAGACGTTTCGGGTGGCGAAGCTGATCAGTGGCTTGCCGCAATGGGAGATAAGATGGAATCCCATGACAGGAATAAAACTTGGGAGCTAGTCAAACGACCACAGGGAAGGAAGATTGTTACAAACAAGTGGATCTACAAGAAGAAAGAATGAATCACTTCTAAAGAGGGCATGAAATTTAAAGCTCAGGTGGTTGCATGAGGCTTCTCGCAGAGGGAAGGAAATGACTACAATGAGATTTTCTCACCAGTGGTCAGACATACTTCGATCAGAGTGCTACTAGCAATAGTGGCACATTATGACTTGGAGCTCGAGCAGCTAGACGTGAAGACAGCTTTCCTACATGGAGAGTTGGAGGAAGAAATTTACATGACTCAGCCAGAAGGATTCCAGGTTCCGGGAAAAGAAGACTATGTTTGTAAGCTGAAGAAGTACTTGTATGGACTTAAGCAGTCTCCGAGGCAGTGGTACAAGAGATTTGACAGTTACATGCTTCAGCTGGGCTACAGTAGAAGTCCATATGATTGTTGTGTGTATCACAACAAGGTGGATGATTGTTCGATGATCTATCTTGTTCTGTATGTGGATGATATGCTCATAGCTACGAGGTCGAAGTTTGATATCCAGAAGTTAAAGGGGCTTCTCAGTGCCGAGTTTGAGATGAAGGATTTGGGAGCTGCTCAGAAGATCTTGGGGTGGAGATTTACAGGGACAGGTCGAAGAAGAAGCTTTTTTTTTTGTCACAGAAGAGCTACATCCAGAAGATACTCTCGAGGTTTGACATGTCTTCAGCAAAGCCCTTAAATACTCCTAGTGCTTCAAATGCTCATCTATCCTCAACTTATGCACCACATGCAGAGGTTGAGAAGGAGTACATGTCGAGAGTTTCATATGCTAGTGCAGTAGGTAGCTTGATGTACGCTATGGTATGCACTAGACCTGATCTTGCACATGATGTTAGTGTTGCCATCAGGTTTATGATACAACCTGGGAAGGAGCATTGGCAGGCTGTGAAGAGGATCTTCCGGTACCTTAAGGGTACACCTGATGTGGGGATTAGCTTCGAAAGTGATACAGAGTGCTTGGTGTCTGCGTATTCTGACTCGGACTATGCTAGAGATGTTGACACGAGGAGATCGATGACCGGTTATGTATTCACTCTTGGGAGTTCTATAGTGAGCTGGAATGCAACTTTGCAGCCGGCGGTGACATTGTCTACGACTGAGGCAGAGTATATGGCGTTGACAGAAGCTGCTAATGAGGGAATATGGTTGAAGGGACTGGTTGGTGATCTAGGTCTACATCATGATCAGGCAGTGGTGTATTGCGACAGTTTGAGTGCAATATGCTTGGCCAAGGATCAAGTCCACCATGAGAGGACTAAGCACATTGATGTCAGGTATCATTTCTTGAGGACAAAGAAGAGGATTAAGGTGAAGAAGGTTGGCACCGCGGATAATCCTGCTGATATGTTCACGAATCCGGTTCCACATGGCAAGTTCCAACACTGCTTGGACTTACTGAATGTCTTGAGTGGGTGACTCCGCCCTGCGGGGCATTGATGGCGGGAGAGAGAGAGAGAAGGTGGAGATTTGTTGATGTGACTTGAATCGGACTATCAGCCGCTACGACTGGTAGTCGGGGGTCTCAATGTTGCAGGAAGAGGATTCAAGTCAAGGTGGAGATTTGTTGATGTGACTTGAATCGGACTATCAGCCGCTACGACTGGTAGTCGGGGGTCTCAATGTTATTTGGGTTCGGGTTCTGAGCCTGGTCTGTAACCGTTTCCTTTGCCAGATTGGATTAGGTTTAGACCCACATGGAGAAGTACTATAAATACTTCTCATACTCCTCTGTAATATGTAATCTCCTCGATATAGTGAAACTGGCTCTCTCTCGCTCGTGGACTAGCTAACACACATTGTGTTAGTGAACCACGTAAATCGTGTGTCTGTGTTTTTCGATTCTCACTTTCGTATTCTTGCTTTATCGATTCCGATGATTTTCCGATCCGTAGCAGCGGATTTATAACACTATAGTACTGACTGATGATCACAAGGATACTTTGAGATACCATATACAACATATATCAAACCTTTAATCAATGATAATGATGTAATCTAACCGTCCATTTTTGCCATGGACATGCATTATTTGCTAATACAACCTAAGGTCACGAAGACTTGTTAATTATGATCAAAATCTACAAATACACTTAGTACTACGCATCGACCCAATGGAGAAGACGAGAAGGAATGCAATCACATCCAAATTAGCTAATACATCTTGCATAAAAAGATGATACAACCACATCCGACAACATGTACGTTCTATTCATAAGAAGTGACACAAAATGTAGAAAGTGGTAAATATACGTATAGTCTGAGAGGAACTACAACCTCTCTCATTTTATCTAAAGTTATAATGTGTGAGTTCAATCGTTCATATATTGAGAAACACATTAGAAAATGATTAGACTATATTTAAGGATGAAAATCAAACCCATGGTTGCGGGTATCCGTTCACCTCCGACCCAGTCAATGTGGGGAATTCTCGTATTAACCGGGTATGAGTAAAACTAACAAAGAACTTGATGGGTATGAGACTGGTATGGTTTTAGTGTCCCCCGCCCCATACTCATACCCAAACCTGCCCCATCAAGGTATTTTGTTATACGTAAAAAGCTATAAATATATTTTTATAGATTATTATTAGCATGAAGGTAATTAAATTAGAAAACATGATTAAAATGTAATTATGTTTATCAAAACCCTTAAAAGTTTCAATCCTCTCAGCCGGATATAGTTTACTTTCTCAATTCTTCAATGCGGCTGCATTTCCCCTCCTGACTCCTGAATCATCTTGGAGATGCACACCTTATCAAAATTGTTGATGAGATAGTAATAGGTCATTGACTCATTGCATATCATTTTTTATATTTGAATTATTCTGATGCATATTGGTGTAACTTAGTGTGTTTGAATAATTGGTAGTCTAGTAGACTATAATCTTTTATAAGCAAAAGAGGTTTTTGTCTAACTGACAAGTTTATGTTAGCTATTTACTATATAGATATGTTGGATTCGAAGATGAATGATTTGATATAGTATTATATTTTTATTTTATTGATTAATCAATATTTTAGGATTGAATGTTTTTTCCTATTAAGAAATACTATAACTATGTTGATTCCCGCTATTTATTATGTATGTTTTGTGTTATAATTGAATACATGTTGAACTTTAGATATAATAATATTGCTTATACGGGGCGGGTATTACCCATGGGAATCCAAAACTCCTGGGTATGGGGATAGGTTTCCAAAACCTCACTTCGCATGGTATTGGGACGGGTATGAATTTGGTTATTTGATAATGGAGATGGGGATGGTTTAGGTGAACCTGCCCCAAACTAGGGATGGCAATTTACCCACCCATGGGTAATTTTGCCCAAACCCAAGTAGACCCATTTATTATGGGTAGGGTTTGGGTGATGTGTGTATGGGTTTGGGGTTTGTATATGGGTTTGGGTTAGATATGGATATTATCTAAATGGGTATGGGTTGGATATGGATATCCATTTACTTGAGGGTGTTTTAACTACACATGCAAAAATTGGACTTATTTGTAAAACTTGAAAAGTTTAGGTACCAAAATGTAAGACCAAAAAAATTTAGGTGCCAAAACGTAATTTTCCATCGATATTTTGAGGACTTATATGCAAAAAAAATTAAATTTAGGTACTAAATATGCATATCTATTAAGTTTAGGTACCAAACTATAATTTGTATTTGGGCATGGGTACAAACCCAAATCCATTTGTTATAAACCCAACCAACCCAAAGTAAATGGGTATGGGTACAAACCCATCAAACTTTACCCATATCCATATATTTGGATTTCATACCCAACCCAATTGGGTTGAATAGTAAAATACTCATGGGTATGGGCAAAATTGCCATCCCTACCCCAAACCCGCCTAATTGCCATCCCTAATCTACATCTTTAAAATTTAAATTCAGATGCGAAAAACTATTACGGCTTGTTATTTTAACTCTCTCCTCGTTTTAAACTCCGACTTCACCGCATAAAACACATCTGAATAAGTTTTATGGATATCCAAATTAATGTCGTTGTCAATTTGTCATGACCTCCCTTAATCTTGATCTTAATCCCCAATCTCTTAATCACACGATTGGAGGGTATAAAGAGTTTACTAATCTCCACCAACCCTCTCTTACCAAGCGGCAACAACAAGCAAAATACAAAACCACTTGTATTTTGCAAATGTAATAAAAGCATACACGTCACTATTTTTTCTTAAAAAACGTGACTGTTCTTATCCAGAAAAACCCCTATCATCAAAGATCAAAACCCTCCAGCTTCAGCTTCCCCTTCCCCCCAAAAAAATTACAAATAGAAAACCCCAAAAACCCGAATATAAAAGCCCCTCTCCGTCTTCCTCCTTCCTCACCCCATTTCTCTCCGCCGCTGCGCTTCCCTCTCCCTCTGTCCGCATTCATTTTCCCATTACTTCGGAGGGCTTCTTTCCCAAATTTCCGGCAATGGGTTCGGGGCTGCTCCCAGATCTCGGCACCGAGATATTCATCCCGGTGTGCGCCGTCATCGGCATCGCATTCGCTCTGTTTCAATGGGTGCTGGTCTCCCAAGTCAAGCTCTCCCCTGTCGCTTCTTCCGGCAGCAGGGACTCGCCCAGCAAGAACGGCTACAACGACTACCTGATTGAGGAGGAGGAAGGGTTGAACGACCACAACGTCGTTATGAAGTGCGCCGAGATTCAGAACGCCATTTCTGAAGGTAATGTCTGTTTTTCTCCGTCGGTTGAGCTTCCATTCAGAGTAGATCTGGCATTTTTTAGAACTTAAAAGTTAGGTTCCGATTCCACCGGGAAATGGGGGAAATGAGATGAGCTCTGCCGTTATTTTTTCCACCCAGATTCTTAACTGGACATGAATTTCTTCGACGTGTTGATATAAAGATCTGGCTTTTTTCTTCATTATGCTATAAGCCTTTAACAATGACTTGGGTATTGATGAAATCGTGTAATTGATGATTAGGGTAAGAGTTGAAGGGTATTTTCGTTTGGTAAAACTCTTTTTTGGCCAACTTGAGTAGTAGTTGATGATGAAGAACCGGAAAGGAACATGGTTTATGAACTCATGGCTACTCATTAGGCCGATTGTGTTTTCATATGTATTTATATCTGTGGCTGACGTGGGGATGTGGAAAATTTTGATATTGCAGGAGCGACTTCTTTTCTCTTCACGGAGTACAAGTATGTTGGGATCTTCATGGTTGCGTTTGCAGCTCTAATCTTCGTGTTCCTCGGCTCGGTCGAGGGATTCAGCACGAAGCCACAGCCTTGCAGCTACGATCCCAAGAGGACCTGTAAGCCTGCCCTGGCTACTGCTGCTTTCAGCACCATATCATTCCTGCTTGGTGCTGTCACCTCGGTGGTGTCCGGGTTCCTTGGGATGAAGATTGCTACGTACGCGAATGCCAGGACGACGCTCGAGGCGAGGAAAGGAGTTGGGAAGGCCTTCATTGTTGCATTCAGATCCGGTGCAGTCATGGGGTTCCTGCTTGCTGCTAATGGACTTGTGGTGCTCTTCATTACCATCAACGTGTTCAAGCTCTACTATGGTGATGATTGGAGTGGCCTTTTCGAGTCGATCACTGGTTATGGTCTGGGAGGATCTTCCATGGCCCTGTTTGGGAGAGTTGGTGGCGGGATTTACACCAAGGCTGCTGATGTTGGTGCTGATCTTGTTGGGAAAGTTGAGAGGAATATCCCTGAGGATGATCCTAGAAACCCCGCTGTAAGAAACAATTCCCTCTCCTGAAATGATTTCGTCGTTGATGTTATGATGCAGCCCAAGTTGCTTACTAAAATTGGATTGTTGTGATATTTTTCAGGTGATTGCTGACAACGTGGGTGATAACGTCGGTGATATTGCCGGTATGGGATCTGATCTTTTCGGGTCATACGCCGAGGCATCCTGTGCTGCCCTCGTAGTGGCATCCATTTCATCCTTTGGCATTGACCATGACTACACCGGAATGCTGTATCCCTTGCTGATCAGCTCCATGGGTATTCTAGTCTGTTTGATCACCACTCTCTTTGCAACTGATTTCTTCGAGATCAAATTGGTCTCAGAAATTGAGCCGGCATTGAAGAAGCAGCTCATCATTTCCACGGTGCTGATGACTGTTGGAATCGCCATCATTACCTTCATCAGCGTTCCAGCTACCTTCACCATCTTCAACTTCGGAACCCAGAAAGTCGTCCATAACTGGTTGGTACTTAGAGCTATACTTTCATTTGTGCGCATTTTCCCGTTTCCCCTGTTTGTGCTTTACTTATGTTTGAGTGTGTTTGATCAGGCAACTATTCTTGTGCGTTGCTGTTGGTCTATGGGCTGGCCTTATCATCGGATTCGTGACAGAGTACTACACCAGCAATGCTTACAGGTATAAGAAAGGTTTGAACTTTGATGTTACCAACCTCAAAGACTGTTTACTTCGACCCTTTTTTTAACTCTGCCCTGGATTTTTCAGTCCGGTTCAAGACGTTGCTGACTCCTGCCGTACTGGAGCTGCCACTAATGTCATCTTCGGCCTTGCATTGGGATACAAGTCTGTCATTATCCCAATCTTTGCCATTGCAGTTAGCATCTACGTCAGCTTCAGCTTTGCCGCAATGTATGGAGTTGCAGTTGCTGCTCTTGGAATGCTCAGCACCATCGCCACCGGTTTGGCCATCGATGCCTATGGTCCCATTAGTGACAACGCCGGAGGAATAGCTGAGATGGCAGGAATGAGCCACAGAATCAGGGAGAGAACTGATGCACTTGACGCTGCAGGAAACACCACTGCCGCCATTGGCAAGGTCTGAACCTTCTCTCTGCTAATCTGATTTTTAAGCCAATTCTACTCCTAGCATTTAGTACAATGAACTCGAATCTTTTCATTTCTTGCTAGGGTTTCGCCATTGGTTCAGCTGCACTTGTCTCCTTGGCCCTCTTCGGCGCCTTTGTGAGCCGTGCATCCATCTCAACAGTCGACGTGCTGACCCCCAAAGTGTTCATCGGTTTGATTGTCGGAGCTATGCTTCCTTACTGGTTCTCCGCCATGACAATGAAATCAGTCGGAAGTGCAGCCCTGAAGATGGTAGAGGAAGTCCGTCGTCAGTTCAACACCATCCCTGGATTAATGGAAGGCACAGCCAAGCCCGATTACGCCACCTGCGTCAAGATCTCCACCGACGCCTCCATCAAGGAAATGATCCCTCCCGGCGCCCTTGTCATGCTCACACCACTCATCGTCGGAATCTTCTTTGGTGTTGAGACTCTCTCCGGTGTCCTCGCCGGTTCTCTCGTGTCCGGTGTCCAGGTAAAAAAAAACAACATTTCTCACTCAAACCAAGATTTACCCCCTTTGAACTTCTCCAAATGGATTGAACAAGACAATTGTTGGCTACCGTTTTTATGCAGATTGCTATCTCTGCATCGAACACCGGTGGTGCATGGGACAATGCCAAGAAGTACATCGAGGCGGGCGCTTCGGAGCACGCCAGAACTCTTGGCCCGAAAGGCTCCGACCCACACAAGGCCGCGGTGATCGGTGACACCATTGGAGACCCGCTGAAGGACACCTCCGGGCCGTCGCTCAACATCCTCATCAAGCTCATGGCTGTCGAGTCGCTTGTGTTCGCGCCGTTCTTTGCCACTCACGGTGGCTTGCTGTTCAAGCTATTATGAACCATCGATGCAGATTGGAGACGGTGACAAAGCACTGATGGATCTCTTGCCCCAGGAGAGATTGTTCTCACATAAACATGGTAGCAAGTCGGTAGTTTTTGCGGGTTTTATTGGAGTCATTGCAATTGTTTCTCTCCTCCTGCCTTTGGTGGTAGAGGAAATTTTTCCGCTAGGGTTGGTGATGAAGAAAAGAGAAGTTTTGTCTTGGATTACTTGAGGAACAATGTACCACTGAGGATGGTGTTTTTGTTGTTGTAGGGTCAGTCGGTTTCAGTTTCTAGGGCAACCATTTTGTACTCCTGTGGCGTTTGTTTGTTTGTTCACGATGAGTTTACTATTTCTGACTGGGTGTTAATGGCGGGTTTACAATGGTTTACCTCTTTTTCCTTCTAGCATTTGTCACACGTGAGATTTCTACACCCTTGGAGGTAGGGCTGGGCATGCGGGCGGATCATCCGCGGGTTTGGGCCGACCCACCCGCATTTGACCCGAATTTCGTTAAGTGGGTGGGTCTGTGGGTGGGTGACGGGTTGCGCTAGGAGCCATCCGCCGGGTGGTGGGTAGGTTGTGGGTGAGTGTGCGGGTGACCCGCTCAACCCAACAGCAAAAAGATCAAAGTCGTTGGCGCTAGAGAGAGGAGAGTGGAGACGTTAGATATAAACTCGGACTGCTCCTGGAGTTTGAACCTCAAAGGCAACCTTCCAAATAGAGATCCCCTCTTCTTCCCTTTACTTTTCCCTCTAATTCTTGTGCCTAGATCACCGCTCTTTCCTTTGTGGAATTATTTTCCTTAGTTCCTTGCACCTAATAATCATCTCAATTTGTAGAAAACTCTTTCATAATAGAATTTCTATACAATTTAAGAACTAATTCAACATTTTTCGCCCTATTTCAACTTCTTGTTTCCCTCGATGATTCTCTTCACCTATTATCATGTCAAGTTGACTCCTTTATATTATATACATTGTGATGTGGGTGAACCCACAAACCCACCCGCATCATCCACCATCCGCCCGACCCAACCCGAGACTAAATGTGGGTGGGTGGTGGGTTAAAATTTATCAATCCGTTTAAGCGCGGGTGGGTACATTTTATGGTCAAAATCCACCCGACCCACCCAACGCCCACCCCTACTTGGAGGTTTTAAAAATCGTATCGTGTCGGTTGATCATATCGGGAATATCAAATCTCTATATGATAAGTTGTTTTGGTGATATTACACGATTCACTAACGATTTTAGTCCAAAAAGACCAAAACACTTTAAAATTAACTTTTTACTATATATTTTCACGATTTCGAAATCATTGTTGCCTCTTTTAAGAAAGTTTTAGAATTAACCTCAAATTGACATTTTGATTACGAAATATGAATTGTAGTTGATCTTTCTTCCAAATTTTAATAAAATTCGTGAATTATAAGTACCTATATTGTGTGCTTGATTCTCCGCTCTAATAAATTCGTCAAATATTCGTGAGATTTAAACACTCGAATACTCATTAAGGAGTAAGAGTCAACTAGTTGGAGTGCGACAGCTTGCAAATGTAACATCTGGATTTTGAAGTGTCGGGAACTAACTTGGGAGTTGAGATCCAATTCCTAACCTACTTTGGCAGTTACAATTGGGAGGTAGGGTTGGACTTGGACATGTGGAAAACGAGGGGCCAATGGTGGTTCCATTCCAACCTACTACCCAACTTCAAATTATAAGGGTCATTCTCAAAAAAATTACAATTCACTTATGTGTGTTCAGACTTTTGCCAACGATTGACTAGTACTATACCAATACCACTTAAAAGTATTTGTAGCTTTGAAATTGACGAGACGCTTTCGTGGTAAAATAGAGGGGGTTCTTGTAACAATCTCGAAGTTAGACATGTTTATGATAGAGTAGTGTAGAAAGCGAGTCAGTCTTTTGGAAAGTCACAACGATACACTCAAAACTAAATCGTGTATAACTGGATCCAAAGCGGAAAATATGTTGAATAGAAAAAGAGTTTTAATGTTATTGGCAATATCCATTGAGTGGTTTCTTTTAGCTATTCTTGTGTTTATATGCATATGATGTTAGAATCAAACTCATAGACAAGTCAAACATTTCGAATAGTACAAGGATAATTTCGGGTTTTGTGGAATTCGCTTATAGATTTTATTGAAGTGAAGAGAATCTTGTCTCAAGTGACCTCGCAAGGTAACACATTCGAGTCATTTTCAAAAGTCTAGCGAGTTCGCCAATCGTGCTCTATCTCAAGTCTCAACCAAATTAGAGACCACTTTGATGTTACTTTGCTTTCCCCAATTCAAAGATTCCAAGTCGTGGGTTTGGAATCAACGATGTACTTGCTTACACAAAGAGCCCATTATATATTCTTCTATTCAACTTTTATTAAACCAACAGAGATAATAGACTTCTTAACCAACGGCCTGGTTTACAACCCCTTTAATCTCATAATTAGAAATGGAATAAATTCTTAAGCATAATTAAGAAGATAAGTACAATCTAATCAACAAGATCATTATCATAACACATAGATTAGATAGGCATTGCTTTGTCACCTCAAAGTATATCTAATCTCACTTTGGTTACAAGGGTTTGATCTTTTCTTTCTTCTTCTTTCCCTTGCTTGTGCAATTGACCAACCGGCAACCAACCAATCAATCCTGGCCATTTTGCAGATTCTTATATTCTCAGTATGGGAGCCTGATATGATGTTCCATCACTTTTGCTTTTCAATAATCACCAAGGAATAGAAATGTTTTACTGTAAAAAAAAAAAGGAATAGAATTGTTTGTATATGATGGTTGCGTTTGGAACTCCAATTCCATGCTCATAATTGGCCAACATTGCTACTAGTAGCTCTTTGCTTGGTTTGCTTTTCTGTGTGCTGTAGAGAGCTGGTGGAGGAGCTTAACGAGTGATTTGAGTTGAAATAACTTCTCTAGCAGACGACAACAAGAAAAAACTGTATGCTTTATAGTTTATATTGTTGGAAAAGTCGTTTCAACACAAATGCACAAAATCAGAAGTTGTCTCAACATCGCGACTTTCTACCACGTTTCAATTGTGAAAACGTGTAGGCTTTTTTTATTTGTCAGAGAAGACATCTCAACTCGATCGTTGGAGGGAGGAAAGAGAATTTTGAATTGTCTTGTTCCTTCCCCTTCGGAAACGGTTCAGGTTTGAGACACTCGTGGACAAACTACTTTATGTCTTATCGTTCGAGTCATTGTTATTAGACGGGTGTATGTGTATGATGCATAGGTTGATAGGTACCCAATATCTTGAGTTTAAATAGACTGTTAATATTGAAGGTCATGAAAATCAAATATGTGATCTTACGATCAACAACTATGATACCATGTCAAAAACCAACTAGTCTTCATAACTCGAATTATTGAGAGTAAAGTTAATTATGTATTTTATACCAATCTCTTACCAAAAACTTGTAGTTTGGATGGATCAAAGTGATGAGTCAATGTGCCCCAATTGACTCAAAATGAGACAATTGGGCCAAATTACCCCGTTTGGATGCAAAAAGTAAGAATGAGGCAATTGAAATTGCTTCATTACGGGTCAATGTCAATTACTTGGGTGGAGGGAGGTAATCTACATTTCTCCATTTTGTGGGTCACTTTTCCCAATATGACCCCTTTTATTTAATTTCTTTTTTCTTTCTTCCTTTCCCAAGATAGAGAAGGGTAAAAGAATGAGAGCAAATATGTATTTTCATAAAATGTCTCATCACAATTGTCTCATGCCAAATCACAAGCCAAACAAAACAATTATGTAAACATTTACTCATACAATTAGCTCATTTTCTAAAATGAGACTTTTGTTCCAAATTACCTCATTTTGAGAATGTCTCATCCAAACGATCTCTTAATTAAATAAGAAAAGGGTTCGCATCATTTCAGCCATTTGGAGACCAGAAATCAATCCACAGCCTGGCAATGCAGGACATGATCTGACCAATATACATATATACAAATCAAACAAACAAAGAACACAGGAAAAACCAACAGATCTACACACACATGCACTCTCATTCTTTAAATTCTTAAAATATTAGTTTATGAAAGGAAATTAGAAACCTTGTACCCACAAGTAACAGCAATCAAATCTACCAATATATCATTTATAGAAATAATAATAATTAAAAACAAAAAAGGCGAGATGGAAGATGGCTAGATCTATGATTAAGCTCCAACATTTTGGTGGGTGTGACCATATTAAATTTAGCCATTTAGGGTTCCCCAAGCAACATATATATAATAATTGATTGTGGGGCATTGCCTTATTGATTAAGGTCCCACAGTCTATGACCCAGGAATCAACCCTTCCCCAGATAAACACTCTGGTTTCTGAATCCACCATCTCCATTGATTGTTCTTTCTCTTGGCTTGGGTTAGATCCACTATGGTAACATTAATAAGTGTTTTTGTTTGGCAAGTTAACCTAATTATTTGGCAAAAATGGGCATGATATTGATGTATCAGGTTAATCTTTGAATCTATGAACACGGGCTCTTCAGATGGTGTCTTGAAGAGATGCATTACTCAGCTTATCAACAACAACAACGAAAAATCTCATGACCTTGTACTTAGCTTGTCATGAAGGTGATCCTTGTTCGGATCGAGTACTCGTGGACTAATGATCTTCAGCTAATTCAAAATCATAGTTACATCGGGTCATCTCTGATGTTAAAGTCATATCAAAGATTTCCAAACTTACTTTGGTTTGTAGTGACGGGTACTATGTCAGAATGGTGTCACCCAACCTAGCTATATTACATACATCATGTCAGAGATCCGACAATGCTTACTTCGATTATAATTTATAATGAACAAGTAAGCCATAATCACATCTATCGTGAAGAAAATGTTCTCGTGGATTACTTGTTGACTCTTGCTCGCTTTGTGAGTATGAATTTACACATTTGATTTACTGGTCATCCAATAGTTTTGTAACGTCCGTTCTATTAACTTTTGTATGATTTTTCTGGGAGCCAAACAAGATAACTTAATAGACTAGTATTATTCAAATGTGTCACCCTCAATATCTTAATTTGGTTTGTTGTTATTATTGGTGGATGGGGGGTGGTATGGAGTGATGAGCCAACTGTTTGGTTTGTCTATTACTCCACCAAAATCTACATCAGACTCTTGATGGAGGACAAAATCACAATCCGCATGTCCCCATAACCCTAACCCACCAAACATTACCTATTCATTTTTTTCCCCAATAAAAATAATCATGAAAAATCAAGATCAACCTTTAGAAATTAAAAATAAAAGATGGAGATTGAAGTGAGAAATTGGAGATTTGGACAATTTATCTACAAAGGAGAGCCATGCAGGGCCATTCACAACACAGATAGACAACAATTTCTCAACCATAAACTTTTATTTTTTTCTTGCAAGAGATACTTGTACTGTATTAACTAGCGATACAAAAAAAAAAACTAAACCGTTTCAAGAAAATAATACAATCAAGATTGAAAACCAATCCCTTAACAACTGTAGGAACCAAAAGAAAATGCTTTCTTCGCTATATGATGAGCCATCATATTGTTTTCACTGTCAACAGATCGAAATCGGAGACTCGATATCGACGCCCGCCACAACCTGACTGGCTTATAGTGCCTCGACGAGCAACAATACAATCACCAACACACAGCTTATCAATGACCTGCTTTGCATCCCCGCCTCTCAGCACCTGTGTCAATCCGAACGAACCGCACCGGCCGGGCTATTAGCATATAAACTATTTATTTGTTACTTCCAAAAAGGCAAAAACTATAATAGAAATACCAATAAATCATTTGTAAATGAATGGAATATCTAAGTATCCAATGGAGGGGGTGGATGGTAGAAGAAGTGGTAGCTAGTGAGTGAGATGCTTTCATTGGAACATTATCTTCAAGAGATTCCTATTTCTAGAGGGAATTTCTTCTTTCCCTTTCCATTTTCTTTTCCTCCTATTGGGCTTCGAGAGAATGATTCCTTTATGCCCTTTCTCTGGTGCCTTTCTTCGAATTTAATTCTCCCATTTTTCGAAAATTGGAAATATTATAATATGAGGAAAAAATTGTATAGAAGAGATTGAGAAAAAAAATATTATAATTATTCCCTTTCATGTGTGGCGAGTTGCTACATACTACATAGTGCCACCTATGACACACCTCTATCTTTTTTTTGTGCAATTTATTGTTTAGATTCTTCTCACCATTCGAGGAAGAAAAAAAATTCGATAACCCATTCGAGCAATTAAGATAAACTAGTCATTAGTACAACATCACAGTTTTTAGTAGGTGGTCTAATAATCATTATAGAACTATGAATGCTTTTATTTGAGACTTAAATGTGCCACCGTCATTGAAAATTGCATGTCAGGTGCTAATGTTGACCTCCAACCAAAAAATTCATGATCACACACTAAAAACCCTACCAATACATCTGGGGTCGTTTGGAAGTTGTGATTGTTAGAGTTGTGTTTGTTGAATACATGTATTGTGCATAATACAATGTTTGGAAGAGCCAAAGTGTAAAACAATGCATGCATTGTTTTAGGTAGGTCCCACCAACAATCACAAAAAATGATGCATTATACAATCTCAACTAAAAGTTGAGATTGTTGTGATTCTTGGTTTTAGATTTGTGTCAACATTTTTCTTTCCATTTATATCCCCAATAGTTTTTGTCTTATTCTAAAAGTTGAGGGTAAATATGACATTTCCCCATAAATGTAACTTTATGTAAATCAATGCATAAAGTAGAATCTCAACAACCAAACAATGTATTGTTAAAATGCATCCATTGTATCAATACATGCATTTATATTATGGTGATTCATTACAATGGAACGATTTAACATTCGCAACTTCCAAACGACCCCTAGTTAAGTCCGTGCTTTACAATTTCTCATAGTCCAATAATCACAAGGCTCGGATTCTGTACACCTACCCAAAAAAAGAAAAAACAAGTCAGTTGGCGGTCATAATATAACCGATTATCTCGACTACATCCACGTATATGGTTTTTCTAAAAATAAAATGGTTAAATACACTTGTATATCCAAAACTTTCACGGTTGTGTCAATAATATCCAAATTTCCCGAAATACCACTTATATCCAATTCCTTCACATTCTTTAACGGTGTTTTTGGATATACTAGTGTATTTAACCAAAAATATATTGGGAAATTGATAGATTTGGCAAGGAACAACTTTAAAACATGGATATAAGTGGTATATCGGAAAATTTGGATATTATTGGCACAACCGTGAAAGTTTTGGATATACAAGTGTATTAAACCAAATAAAATCAACTTACGAGGTTGAGCACATAAGATATATTGGAGATGGCAAAGCTAGTATGTTAAGCATCGATTGAGTCTATCAACCGAAAAGTTGATTGAAATGTGTGAACATTCTTAACTTAAATACTTAATTTCGAATATCTTAAATTGTACGCAAACAAATATCGTACCATTTCTCTTGATCGTGTGGATCGGTAAGCCGGACAAGCAATGCGCCCTTAGCTTGGATGGATTATGACTAAATTGTGGCGTGAAATCAGTATGATAGGAGACACAACAAAGATCGCGGTCTTCTTAAATCAAATCGTTGAAGAATGAAGACAAGAGCAACCAAAACAGACATGGAATGGAAAACAACTCTATCTTATCTGGAGAGTTTAAAAAGAGAAACCGAGTAAATGAAGAAGAAGAAAAAGAAGTGTGTATGGTTTACGTCCCCGCGGGAATTAGGCTTGAAATTTCAATCCCACGAGAACAACCTCTCAAAAGAAGTATTATTAAAGTGTCCATTAAACATTGTATTATGGAGACATAAAGAAAGAGTTTGAGTCAATCCTAAATTTTCTAATTAGCACACTAAACAAAACAGAGCATATGGGAAGACAGGGGAGGATGAAGACTTTGCTTCCGTCGACCGAAATGTCTACTTTCCTTATTGCACAAGGCTTTGTCTTAGAATGATTCGAGCTGTGGAAGTCCAAAATTGAATCTTATATTATGCTCGTTCTCATGTATTGGTTCAAACGAAAATTACATTATATATTTGAAGTTTGTCTAAGTAAACTAGTATTAATTGGGCTCGTCAGGATGTGAACGCGAGATCTTTCAATCATTAAATTTAATAACATTTGCAAAACCAATATAATGGGTTCAATAACTCGAACACTTGAGAAAAGACCAACAACGAATACTATATCATTCATTACCTTACATGCTCACCCTGTTATGAGACTGTCTCCGCCACTAGAAGTATACACCTTAATCTTTATCAATTTGGAACCTAATGGGGGGTCGTTGTTTGTTGCGTGGATTTGACAAATAAAAGTTTTGATAAATCTGGATTTTGGAAAACCATGGATATATGAGACTTTTGAATTCATTATGAATTTGGAAAATACATTGTTTGTTTCGTAGGTTTCAATATTGATTTTGTTAATTACATTTTATTTAATAAATTAATTCCATTATATGATTGTCATATGTGAACATATATTAGAAATTATTTTCGTTCTAGAAACATATATGCTTTTGTTGCCTCGTCGATTTGACAACCCTGAATTCTACCCATTGTTTTCTATGCTACAACAATTCTTGGTGCGTACGTAGTTTTCTGAAATTATGAGCTTGATCATATATAATAATAAAATTAAAAAAACTTCTGGAAAGGTAAAGACTAAATAGTTTTCTTGATTACCAATGACGAATGATAAGTTGAAATAATGTAAATGCTAATTAGGGTGGGCTCAAGTCCAATGGAATACAAGTGGTTCACATAATCACCTTGGATTTTACTTTTGTGGTGTTTGAGAAATCATGCCCGGAATCAAAATTCATAATAATGATTATTAGGGTTTTGGTAAGAAACGAAATGAAAGTTAATAATGAGCGTAAAGACGGAGTTGAACTCACTCGTCAAATAAGAACTTAGCAACGACGAAGGATTGAAATAAACAGAGTAATGATGTGATGGGCAGAGTTGAAAAAGAATGATACCCACTTAACTATCTTCGAGATTAGTCTAAACTTTAATCCTACATATAGACTCACACAATCTAAAGATAATCTCGAAATTCAGGACAATCCAGAAATTTCCTATTAATAACAAATTAACAACAGATTTATTAACATCATAATTCCAATTTAATGAGATCCACTAAATTATAGGATGAAATCCTTATCTTATCCACTTCGATTATTTTGACAATCACATATTATCTCCCTCATCCTCGTCATGCTCTTTCTCTAGATTTGTCCACTAGAAATCTTGATTAATTAATGGTTTACTTTGCAAACTTGAATTTGCAAGGAAAATATAGGATATCAAACAACCGCCTTAACTCAATCTCCACCTATTTCTCTATCGTTTCTTGGCTTCTGAATCTGATTTGGTTTTACTGCGGTTCAATGTTGCGGAGTATTTTTTTTTTATCGAATTACTAATGGAAAAATTACGAATATGGGGTTTTAAATGATAGATTTGGTTAGAATCAAATGAATTAGCACAAAATCAACTAGCTTTTAATTTTTTTTGGTTCGGTATACAATTACCGTCCTTTGTTGTAACTATCTAACCTCAATTTGACTAAGTTGAATCTATTGTCGGTTCGATTTAGATTCCAATACCAATGAAGCCTCTTAATCATCGAAAAAAAATATTATAATTCGAAATCTAACCTAATCATATAAGATCAATTACATTTTTGATATATTCATCCCAATCAAATCGAATCGAATTTAACAGTCACACACAGATCTTCGTGGTGACAGGTGGAGCCGAGGTGGACAACATCTACCGTAGAGAACATTTCATTGAATTTCATAATAATTCAGAGATTACGGCAACTAATTAAATACCAACCAATTAAAATTAGGCACACTATTAATTAATTTCTTTTCTTTTTCAGAGTTACGGCAACCAACCGCCAAACCCCAAACCAGATCCGGCACATATTCGCCCCCACCACCACACCAAATAAATGAAAAATAAAAACCATATCTCATAATCTCATTTCCATTTTTATTTTTTTTATTTTTCAGATTATAATTAATTAATTCCCTTTTCGTTTTGCAATTTCCCGGCTCTCTGGATATAAAGCCTCGATTTTTCTGCTAACCCACCACCACTCCCCATTTCGCTTCTCCTACTCTTCCCTATTTTCCCTGTGGAGAGTAAAACCTTTCGCTCCTTCCTCTCTCGTCGGTTACCCAGAATCTCGGGCGGTGGGAATTCTATCCTTCTTTTCCCGATATGGGTGCTTCCCTTCTGCCAGATCTCGCTACCCAGATACTGATTCCGGTATGCGGGGTCATCGGAATTGCCTTCGCCCTGTTCCAGTGGGTGCTGGTCTCGTCGGTCAAGATGTCTGCCGGCGGCGGCAGGGATGCGGCCAGCAAGAACGGCAACACCGACTACCTGATTGAGGAGGAGGAAGGGGTGAATGACCACAGCGTCGTCGCCAAATGTGCTGAGATTCAGAACGCCATTTCCGAGGGTAAATTGAACTAATCTTCTCTCTGTGTTAGATCTCAGCTTGGTAGTTGGGTTTGTATTGTTTGAAGTGGTTTGTTATTCGGTTTTTGTGTGGTTGGGTGTGACTTGTGAGAGTGAACTGGGGTTTGGTTAGAGTTTGTATTTGTGTGAAGTGATTAGGGATGGTTTTAGAGTGTGTTCCCAGTGGCTAATTTTTACTGGGAGGAGATTGAGTTGTTATGTTGAGCTGATTCTGTGGGTTGTCCTGTTTCGTGGTTCGAGATCTGATTCTTTGTTCTATACGTTTCTGGTTCTCTGCATCTGAGCTCTCTTGAATTTTCGTTTTTTGATTTCCATCCATTAGAGTAAGTGTGAAGTAGAATTTGTTGGATCTTTCCTCAGTTTTTGGGTGCTCCGAGTTTTCCTTTGGGGTTGGTGGAAATCTTACGGGATATATGCTAGATCTGGGAGCCGTATCTGCTTTATGAATTGGTGGGAGTCTAGAGCTCCATAGAAGTTCTATGGATCTGACATCTGAGCTTTTGTTTTGAACCCTGTTGATATATTGTGTTCTACTTGAAAAATCTGCTAATGACCCATTCCTGCGGGAAGACTTTCTGAGCACGACCAAGCTCTTCTGACGGGACGTTTAAAATGGAGTTCTGTTGATTGTTTTGGCAGTGACGCGTGCTCTCGATGAGCCTGATTGCCCTTTTGGATAACCCATAGCTTCCTCTTTCCTTCGCATTCCTCTTTTTCTCCATTGTATGACATCAAACCAGTGACTTTTTTCCACTACTTGGGCTCGGTTACGTGGCTCTTGCTTGCCATTATGCTCTAATACTGGTCATACTTTCTGGAGTCAATTATATGGCCCTTGTTATTAGTATTTAAACGTTAAAGTCTGCTTTTTTTTTATGCCTCCTCATTGCTTTGTGGACTGTGGGAAACATGCTTCTCATCGGTTTCTCTTTGTGAGATATAACCATGAACGGTGTAGATTACTCAACTCTTTTTTTTTTGGGGCCTTCATACCATACTATATTATCTTTGATATGATATACACGTGATCAGATCTTGCACTTGAGAGGTAGAGGCACAATATAAAAATTGAAACTTTCAGATTAGTTTTAATGTTGTACATGGGCACTTCTCCTCTAGAGCGCAACTGGCATTTGTTTGTTAGTTTCTACAGTTCCTCCTACAGAATTTCACTATCCAGTATGCTTGACTTGGTTGACTAATTGGGTGTTTAATGATGCAGGGTCAACCTCTTTCTTATTCACTATGTACAAGTATGTTGGCATCTTCATGGTTGCCTTCGCTGTCCTCATTTTTGTGTTCTTGGGATCCGTTGATGGATTCAGCACAAGTCACCAGGTTTGCACCTACGACGCAACCAAGATGTGCAAGCCTGCCCTGGCTACTGCTGCTTTCAGTACCATATCTTTCTTGCTCGGGGCTGTGACCTCTGTGGTTTCTGGGTTCCTTGGGATGAAGATTGCCACCTATGCAAATGCTAGGACAACTCTCGAGGCAAGGAAAGGAGTAGGGAAGGCTTTCATTGTGGCCTTCAGATCTGGTGCAGTCATGGGTTTCCTCTTGGCTGCAAATGGTCTAGTGGTTCTTTACATTACCATCAACCTCTTCAAGCTTTACTATGGAGATGACTGGGGTGGTCTTTTCGAAGCTATTACTGGTTATGGTCTTGGGGGGTCTTCCATGGCTCTCTTCGGTAGAGTTGGTGGTGGAATCTACACCAAAGCTGCTGATGTTGGTGCTGATCTTGTGGGAAAAGTTGAGAGGAACATTCCTGAGGACGACCCCAGAAATCCAGCTGTAAGCAACTAAATATTTTTAGCTTGCTTAAGAACTTGGTTGGCTTTTGGTTAACTCATTGTTTATACTTTGCTTCTGTTTACTCCAGGTGATTGCTGACAATGTGGGTGACAATGTTGGTGATATTGCTGGTATGGGATCCGATCTTTTCGGTTCATATGCCGAGTCTTCATGTGCTGCCCTGGTGGTTGCGTCCATCTCATCTTTTGGGATTAACCACGAGTTCACAGCTATGCTTTACCCACTCATTATCAGTGCAGTAGGAATCCTTGTTTGCTTGATCACCACTTTGTTTGCCACTGATTTCTTTGAGATCAAGGCTGTGAAAGAAATCGAGCCAGCTCTGAAAAAGCAGCTTGTCATCTCAACTGTTCTCATGACTGTTGGGATTGCCGTTGTTAGCTGGGTCGCTCTTCCAGCTTCCTTCACTATCTTCAATTTCGGAACACAGAAGGATGTGACGAACTGGTGTGATTTTCGCTCACCATATATTTTGTTATATTTATGGTATCGTCTATGAAGAATTTTGTCACTGAACTCCTTTCTCCATTCAGGCAACTGTTCTTGTGTGTTGCTGTTGGTCTATGGGCTGGACTTATTATTGGATTTGTGACCGAGTACTACACCAGCAATGCATACAGGTAAAAACAACCTTGGAAAACTGAAGTTCAGCTTTGTTCATCTCTTTTCTGAATTAGTAATAGCACTTAATTTTTGGGTTTCAATTTTTTTCTTTTCTTTTGCAGCCCTGTTCAAGACGTTGCAGATTCTTGCAGAACTGGAGCTGCCACTAATGTCATTTTCGGGCTTGCATTGGGATACAAATCTGTCATCATCCCCATCTTTGCCATCGCAATTAGCATTTTTGTTAGTTTCAGCTTTGCTGCTATGTACGGCATTGCAGTAGCTGCACTTGGAATGTTGAGCACCATCGCCACTGGATTGGCCATTGATGCTTATGGTCCCATTAGTGACAATGCTGGAGGTATCGCTGAGATGGCAGGAATGAGTCACAGAATCCGAGAGAGAACTGATGCCCTCGATGCTGCAGGAAACACCACTGCTGCTATTGGCAAGGTTGGAATCTTTCTTTGAAAATATCTCTTAAATCTCTTCTTTTTTCCTGTTGTTTTTTCGAAGTTATCTTCTTGTTCTTCATCTGACGTATCAGTGGGTGGTGTCAAATGATTTTGTGTCCATGGGACCACGACTAGTGTGGCACACACCTCTAGGGTATGGATGACATGGATTAGCTGCCCCACTTCTCTTTGTGGTTTTGCTGGAATTATTTATTCATTTTGAAAGAGAAAGCCGTGACTTTTCCCCCTCTTCTTCCCGAGGAGTTAGATAAGGAACCAATCCCTGCAACTTCCTTGGACCACTTGTTTACGTGCGTGGTCTTCTATTTCTCTAGTTAAATGACAAAAGTGAGAATGATAACAGCTGTTTTGTTTTGTGCACCATTTTTTCATTGGGTGGATAATGGTCAGTGAGAAACCAACATTAAATTTCCCGGGGTTTGGTTAAACTAAAATGGAGTTTTGCGTGCGTATTAAGTTTGCTTTCTTGATAACCAGATTCTTTCACTTGTTTTGGTTACAGTTATCTGTTTTCTATCATTGTAGAGAAGCTGTTTCTTGAGCATCATCATCTGCTAAGTCGCTATAGTTTGCTCAACTCTTCAATTCTTCCAAATTTTTTCAGGGTTTCGCTATTGGTTCTGCTGCCCTCGTCTCGCTGGCACTCTTTGGTGCCTTTGTCAGCCGTGCATCCATCACAACTGTCGATGTGTTGACACCGAAAGTATTTATTGGCTTGATTGTCGGAGCTATGCTTCCATACTGGTTCTCTGCTATGACGATGAAGTCTGTTGGAAGTGCAGCATTGAAGATGGTTGAGGAAGTTCGCAGGCAATTCAACACCATCCCTGGACTAATGGAAGGCACTGCTAAGCCTGACTATGCCACCTGTGTCAAGATCTCCACCGATGCCTCCATCAAGGAAATGATTCCACCTGGTGCCCTTGTCATGCTCACTCCTCTAATCGTCGGCATCTTCTTTGGCGTGGAAACCCTCTCCGGTGTCCTTGCTGGATCTCTCGTGTCTGGTGTGCAGGTAAAAGCCAGATGTCAGATCTCTATATTGCTGATCCTGAATGGCTCTCGATACTTGACTTGTTCTTAATGCTGGTTATGCTTTTGTGTGTACTGCAGATTGCTATCTCTGCATCGAACACTGGCGGTGCATGGGACAATGCCAAGAAGTACATTGAGGTAAAAATACATCTGCTTCGTCTCTTCCCTTTTGAATTGTAGAATGCTTGCTCCACTTTTCTCGTTGAATTCGAGTAAAATTTTGATTTTTTTGTGGGTTTTGTTCCAGGCTGGTGCATCAGACCACGCAAGATCACTCGGTCCGAAAGGATCAGACCCACACAAGGCAGCAGTCATTGGTGACACCATCGGAGACCCGTTGAAGGACACATCCGGACCATCGCTCAACATCCTCATCAAGCTCATGGCTGTCGAGTCCCTTGTCTTTGCCCCATTCTTCGCCACTCACGGTGGCCTGCTCTTCAAGATATGAGGAGTATCCCATTGATGGCGAAGTATCCAACCAGAGGAGCATCAAGATGCTTGCTGTCTGGCTTCCTTCTTTTTACCCTCATCCTCTTCCCCCAAAAACCCCCATCCTCCACCCTCCAATGGCCTTCTTTTCTCAGATAGTTCAGTTTATATGTAGTCTGTAGCTTTTGTTCATGGTCTTTGATAACGACGAAGATAGATATGGTGAGGAGAAGAACATTGTCGGTGATGGTGAATCCTCGAGGCCAAGGCGAAAAAGAGAGTTGTGACTTGTAGTTTTATATGTTTCTTCATTAGCAAGCAAAAAACATTTACATTTTTCGTGTAATCCCCAGTGTCTTATTCATCTTTCGAGTTCTTTTACAGTGAGCTTCTTTTGGTCTCTGCAACTTTTCTTTCTCTATTTGAGCCGTGTGAGTGTCATCGCCGTTTCATACAGGGTTCTCTTTCCTTGTGTTTGTTTATCTGAATGGCTAAACATCGCCCTAGTTTTACTGTTATCGCCCTAATTTAAAATATATAATTACTAAATTATCCTTAATTAACCAAATAAAAATAAAACAAAACAAACAAGCTTTAAAATCCCTAATCCACTATTTTCGTCATAGGAAAGCAATTAAACGGCACCGGCGTAGAAAGCAATTAAACGACCCCTTGCCGGCGCCGGCGCCGGCGCGACCCCCTGCACTCCAAAACAACTCTCTATCACCTACAATCCAAACGACTTTGCCGCCAACAAAAACAACAAAACGACCCCCTGTCCTGCCACCGTTGTGGTCCTCTATAAAAGCGCATCCCTACTCCTTTTCTATCTATACCACCGTAGTTAGTAAAAGTTGAAATTATTGCCTGCAGCCATGGAGAACCATTAATGCTACATAGAAGATGAAATGGTAATCAAGCTTTTCTAGTAGTTTTTAGGAAAGATGTTGGTCGCCATTTTTCACAATTTTCGGAAGTGGGCAGTGATGGCGGCAGCCGGTATAGCTGCAACGAGTATCGGCAGCGGCAAAGTAGTGAAGGCGGCTAATGTCCACAAAAATAAAAGGGTATAAAGGTAAATCTTATGTATTAAGTTAGGGCGATTGTATAAGTTAGGGCGACATTTAGCAATCCCTTTGTTTATACGGTTATCGTTTCATATAGGATTCTATATAGTCCGGATTTTTATCGACATATTGAAGGTCAAAATGGCATAAGCTCCTTGTGACCTAAAAGAGTTAAATCACTATTTAATCTCAAAAAGAAAATACCTTCCGTTGACTTATTTAGTATGATTTCACAAATCTTTAGATATTTTCGTTGCCAAAATAAAAATTAGGGGTAAATCTCAAAATGAAAATACCTTCTGTTTAACTTATTTAGTATCACAAATCTTTAGATATCTCCGTCGCCAAAATAAAAATTAGGGATAAATGTTACGTTTTTGTTATTGAGATTATTGAGATTACTAAATCATGTCATGTTTAGTCACTAAAAAAATTAATATCAATTTTTGTCATATTTAGTCACTCTTCCGTCAGTTTCCGTCCAAATCCATTAACGGAGTTGGATGGAGGCTAACGGTAACGGAGAGTAACTAAATGTGACATGTTTCAGTAATTCGAGTGACATTCATAAAAAAAAAAAAAAAAACGTAATTCGAGTGACCGGAGTTGGACAGAGATGAGTGAATGACCAAAATTGATATTAATTTGTTTTAGTTACTAAATATATCACGATTTAGTAATCTAGTGATCAATGGGCCATTTACCCAAAATTAGGTAAATGAAGGAATCATATTTAATTATCCATCCTCTCGTCCTATCCGGCTATCCTATTTCGTTGCTCTTATTAAATCCCTAATCCACAAAGAACACACCACTCTTCCAATTTCCACCATCCTCCTTTCTGCATTTTCCCCCAAACTGAAGACCACGATGTGTACTCTAGAGAAGCGCGGCGATTTCTTCATCCTGACACTCACCGGCGAAAACGACGACCACCGTCTCAGCCCAACCCTCATCGCCGCCGTCCTATCTGCTCTCCGCGAAGCCAAATCGCAGGCCACCAGAGGCTCGGTCCTCATCACCACCTCCCAGGGCAAATTCTTCTCCAACGGATTCGATCTCGGCTGGGCGAGATCCGCCGCAACCCCATCCGATGCCTTCTTGCGGCTGCACCAAATGGTGGAATCGTTCCGGCCGATTGTCGCCGAGCTGATCTCCCTCCCGATGCCCACCGTCGCCGTCGTCCAGGGCCACGCCGCCGCCGCCGGATTTGGCCTGGCCCTGAGCCACGATTACGTGTTTATGAGGAGCGACAGAGGCGTTTTGTACATGAGCGAGGTCGATTTGGGGCTCCCTTTCCCTGATTACTTCTCGGTGCTGTTCAGGGCGAAGCTCGGTTCCATCGCGGCCCGTCGCGATGTGCTGTTGCGAGGGACGAAGGTCCGGGGAGCGGAGGCGGTGAAGCTGGGGATCGTGGACGGAGCTTACGATGGCGAGGAGAAGGTCAAGGGTGCTGGAATGCAGCTGGCGGAGAAGTTGGCATCGAGGAAGTGGAACGGCGAGATTTACAAGGAGATAAGGAAGAGCCTGTACCCGGAGCTTTGTGCGATCCTGGGTTTGGAAGTTGACAAACCAGCCCTCTCGAAGCTCTGATCCGGTCTGGATTTGGTTGAAAGGAAGAAAAAGGGGTTCAATAAGATTTCATAGAGTAATTTGATTTCGTTATCATAGTCTATTCCCCTGTGTTCAAAAAAGTCTATTCCTCTGTTCAATGTGCCTGGAAATGGAATTTTCAACACAAACTTCAGATTACAGACTCGGAAAACTGGATCAGGGCAAGTTGGAAAAGTTGCAGACTTTTTATCCAAGAGAGAGCTTCAAATTCTGGCATCATCAATGACTCTCCTCCCACTCTGGTAGTACAGGAAATGGGTAGTTTCTTCATATTTCACCTTCCTGTACATTGGTGGCCTTTCTTCATTCACAAGCTCTTCAATCGGTTCCACTATCACTTCCGGGTTTGAAAGAGAAAGCATAGCCAGGGAGATTCTCTCCCCTTCTGAATCCACCATTGCCCTGTGGTACAAGCTCTTGAACACCCCATTGCTCAGTATCTGCCACATATTTCTCTCCATTTAGTCATGTTAAGGAAAAGAAAGCGAAAGAACTACCTCCACCGACTAATTACTCGCTGTGAATGATTTACTATATTACCTCTAGCTGCTCCCCAACATTGATGACAAGGGCGCCTGGAACGATGGGAACTCTGAACCACTGGCCATCCTTCTCAATCTGCAGGCCTCCCAGTTCTTTGTCCTGCAGGAGAACCGTGAGCACGGTCGAATCGGAGTGTGGCTTGAGGCCGAAGACGAGATCTGGCCTCGGGCATGGAGGGTAGAAGTTGAATCTTCCATTCATTATCCATGGCTCTCCCATCTTGTGCAGGAAGGTGGTTTCTTTCAGGTTGAGTGACCTGGCCAGTGCCTTCAGGATGACTTCATAGATTGTTACCAACTTGCTGCTGTATTCATCCACAACTTCCCTGCACCGGTTTCATGTAATCAAATGCTCCTTTCTCATGTTTTTTTTTTTTTTTTTGAAGTTGTAAAGCTGTTGTTTGAAGAGAAAATCCCATTTTATGTGGAAGAGTACTAGAGTAGTAGTAGAATCTGGTATCAGTGGTATGACACGGGCATGCTACAGTTCTGATTAGGTGTAATTCTGCTGATTCTCATTTTAACCAAATCAGTATCTCGATTCAATTCTACATTCCTCGTATTCCTTATTTTGGTTAAAAATCCAAGTTTGATGACGAATTTGGTTTTAGCTAATTGAATTTTGTTTGTACTTATGTGCACTGTGTGATACCTGAACTCGGCTGGATTCTCAGGCCAATACTTCAACTGTCTGAACTCCTCGGGACGAATAGTGAGGCTCAATCTGGCAGACCAATGGCGAACAAGCAAATCTCCAGGGACAGGGTCAGTCCCATACCCTTCAAACCCATCAACTTCCCTCTTCCATTTTAGCTTCTCTTCTTCTGGCAGCGAGACGAATTGCTTGAACACCGTCCTCACTTTGTCAAGACAACTCTCCACTCCATGGTTTGTTATCTGTACACACAGTAAACCATCACCAAATCTCATATCAAAATTTGAGCAGTCAAAATGCAACGTCAAAAGAAGGAAAGGAAAAAAAAACAGACAATCATGCAGCCATATGTGCTGAGAGTCGAACGGATCTTTTGATCAGCTTCTTCAGTGGCTTGGGATGGAGCAGTGAGTTGGCCAAGGTCGATGATTGGAAGGTCTATCAATGGAAGCAGCGAAGGGTGGGCATGGTTGCCTCCACGGATGTATTTGGATTCTGGGTTCTTGCCACTGATTGGGATTTCTTTCACAACTTCCATGGTGGGTCGGCTAGCTGGTTATGAATGAAGGGTTTGTTTGGATGGATGGATGGATGATAGTGAGTTTGCTTATGTTTGTTCTTATAGGGCAAATGAGGACGAGGGCAGTTTCAAGTTTTTCATGAAAGACTGACAAATGGGCTAAAAGGTGTTCTGGGTTCTGAAGGATTCGTGCATAGTATACACGTATGGGACATGCATTTCTGATGGTTTTTACAACAAGCTTGAAAATTTGCAAGCAAGGAACTGACAAGGTGAGTTGTTTTTCTTGTCGTTACTGATGAGACCCCGTTCCCAATGACAGTGAAACAGTTTCGTCCCTGCTCAAAGCCTGCAGCTCTGCTTGTTAGAGTTTTCTTTGATTTGGAGAGCACTGGTTTGTCCGTCAAGGTGCTCGATGAAATGCCCCAGAGAGATGTCTTCGTGTGGACGATGAGACGTCGTTCGAGATCAGCTGATTTGTGGAGGAGTGCTTCGAAGTTCTTCGGTTTCAGATGTAATATTGTTTGTTGCGTTCGTTCATTCATTCTGACGTTCAAAAGATGAGTTAGACCCTACCTGAGATCAGATTTTGGCTTGAAACAGAAAGCTTTTCATTTTCTCCTACATACGGATAATGCCAGAACATAATTGAGATTGCAGAAACTGAAATACCCAGAACAGGGTAAGTTGAAAAAGCCTGGAAAGTTTCAGACTTCAAATTCTTGCATCATCAATGATTCTCTTCCCAGTCTGATAGTAACGGAGCTGCAGACTTTCTTCATATTTCACCTTCCTGAACAGCAATGGCCTCTCTTCACTCACCAGCTCTTCAACTGGTCCAACTTCCATTTCCGGGTTAGGTAGACAGATCATAGCCAGAGAAGTCCTCTCCCTTTTGGAATCCACCGTTGCTCTATGGTGCGAGCTCTTGAACTCTCCATTGCTCAGTATCTGCACCAGAACAGGAAACACAAAAAAAATTGACCCTCCATCCCACCAACTAATTACTGTTGAATGATTTCTCATTTTACTGTATTACCTCTAGTTGTTCTCCAACATTGATGACAAGGGCACCTGGAACGATGGGAACTCTGAACCACTGCCCATCTTTCTCAATCTGAAGGCCTTCAACTTCCTTGTCCTGCAGCAGAACCGTCAGGGCCGTGGCGTCGCAGTGCGGCTTGAGCCCGAAGACGAGATCCGGCCTCGGGCATGGAGGGTAGAAGTTGAATCTTGCATACAGTATCCATGGCTCTCCAATCTTGTCAAGAAAGGTGGTTTCTTTCAGGTTTAGTGACCTGGCCAGTGCCGTCAGAATGACTTCATGGAGTGTTACCATCTTGCTCCCGTATTCGTCCACAATTTCCCTGCATCGTTGTTTCATGTGATCAAATCATCAAATGCTTGTTTTTCAATAGAAAATCCAATTTCATGGCAAGGTACATTTTTAATTAATGTGTAATCTTGTAGCTTGCCATATGTGATAGTTGTTAGAGGGTTATATGTGACCATATATAGTTACCCATGAAATCTACATACTAAATTGTGTTAACATCTTATCCTCTTTCCAAACTTTCGTTAACAACTTCGAAACCATAATTTCTGAGTTTGACCTCAAACCTATAACCTCTGAGTTTAGAGTCCGTCGTCACAACCACTCGACCAGAACTTGATTGACAATATGCCCAAATTTGTTTTATGTGCAAAATAGATAAGATTACCTGAACTCTGGTGGATTCTCAGGCCAATACTTGAGTTCTCTAAACTCTTGGGGGAGCACATTGAGGACCAATCTAGCAGACCAATCAACAGGAAGCAGATCTCCAGCTAGGGCAGGGTCAGCTCCAAAGCCTTGAAAAGCTTCCCTCTTGCATTTCAGCTTCTCTTCTTCTGGTAGAGCCACGAATTGCTTGAACACCATCCCCACTTTCTCCAGCAACCAGCTCTCCACTCCATGGTTTGTTATCTGCAGATTGCAGAAGAAAGAAAACAATCAATTCTTCTGTCACAAATTTGAACATCCATTGTCAGATGAATTGATGATTGAATACCATGATGCAACCGTATTCGCTTAGAGCTGATCGGAGGTTCTGATCTGCTTCTGCAGTAGTGAGTTGGCTGATATCGATGATGGGAAGGTCTATCACTGGAAGCAGAGCAGGATGGTCATGGTGGTCTTCATGGATGTATTTTGGTGGTGGGGTTTGGCTACTCATGGGGATTTCTTTGACAGATTCCATGGTGGAGTTTTGGATGATTATGAATGCTTCGAAGGATTTGTTTTGGATGAATGGAAGTGGGTTTTGTTTGGTTTTTATAGGTGGGGGATGAGGGCAGTTTCAGATTTGCATGAAGATTGAAGACTGACAAATGGGCAAAAGGTACTTGTGAGTACATGTACAGTACATGCATGTTCTTGAGGAAATGGTTAGTTTCATTATGTGTTCAAAGTTTTGACTTCAGCTGTTACAAACAACAAAGGTTTAAAATTTGCTACGTGAGAAAATTGAATTTGTTTCCATTTATCAACTCCCCACATTGATGATAAAAGAATTCACCGACAAAACGGACATACCTAATTGAGGCACGATAGTTAACGAGACGATGACAATTGTGCTTGTATTTTTTCGCTTGGAATGCTTTCTCTAAAACTTTAATTATACATAGATTGTGTTGATTCCTAAAAGTTCAGACACTGAGACAATGAGACAATTGAGATCGATTGCCTCTGTCAAGTGATCTGCAAAGAGACGGCGAAGCTATTAGCCAATTAATTAACTGAAGCCTTTCAATATATTATCTCTTCATGTCAGAATGACTTTATTCGTGGAAGACGAATAATTGATAACATCCTAATTAGTCATGAATGTGAAAAATCATTGGAATGGGAGCATGTCCTTTGTTGAACATCAAGTTATATACGAATAAGGCTTATGATAGAATAGAACGACATTTTCTTATAGAAATGATGAAGCAAATGAGATTCACTGGACAAATTACAAACTTCAGTGACCAAGCACCAATTATCCATACGACACAGTTTAACTGAAGACATTTGAATCCTGCGTTTGGGCGCCAAGCTACTGTCTTCGCGCCAACCCAAAGTTCGAAACTTGCCATCGACAGCCTTGTCCATGGAAATACTGCTTGATTATGATTTGCATTCATTCAATTAATATCTTGGCCCGTTTGTGTTGCTCTGTTTTCCAAGAAAAAAAGGGAGGCGAAAGGTTGGTCGGGCGCCAACCACTGGAACCGATAGCAGAGCTTTATGAATAACTGAATCACTATTTGTCGCCCTAAAATTCAAAAAAAAATCGCCTTAAAATACACTTAATTGACACATTTACCCCTAACATTAATTGTAACCTAGACCGGGGAAAATGTCGCAGCCGGCCACCCAAGTATTGCTCTCGTTCGGTCCCTGTTGCCAACAAAGGAGGATGAAGAAGAAGGTCATTAGTCGCCGCCGGAGTCGCTCCCCGCCGCCGCTGATATTTGTCGTTGCTGTCGATCAGGAGGAGGGCGAAGAAGAAGGAAGGAGAGAGCGATTTATCCAAAACAGAGAATGATGCAGCTAGGAACGTGGAAGTGGAGTCGGGGAAACTTGGCCGGAAAATTTAGCGAAGTGATGGCTTGGGATTCCCAGACACTGGCGAGAGAATCAGTCAATGAATAAGAGATATTGAGAGAATCAATTATGCACAATTAAGATGGGAATTGTAGTTGGTTAAGGAAATAACAAGGAAGGAATGGAGGTTGGAGCAGATGTCTCGACAAGAAGAGGGCAACCAAATAGAGAAATAGCCCAGGGAAGTCTTGGCTTCCCTGATTGAACTCAGGGCCAACGATTTCTAAATGGGTTTATTCACCTGCACGGATCGCCGCCTGAAGGAAGAAATAGACGCAACACAGCAGAGGATTGCAATTTTTGTGTTCTTTTTTGTTGGTCAGCGTCGGACAGGTTGAAATCCCGTCGCCGGCGAGCTGGGACGGGTACCTGACCTGTCGCTTGCAGTCGCTGACGGATTATGAAACAAAACTTAAATAAAGGACATTAGAGTCATTTTAACAAAAATTAGGGCGACGAATAAGGTATTTTAGGGCGACGAATAGCAATGCCCTATGAATAAACACAGGAATTTGAATTGGAACAGAGAGAGAGAGGGTCGATCGAAACTTAAAAATGACCCTCCAGTTACTTGTATGGGAAATGGCAGAGTTCATTTAATCCTCCCAATCACCACTACGGCCAGGCTCTACTCTACTAGAGTAACGTACGCAGGGTATAAAGATTCGATTTTTCCCTGCCCTTCATATGATCTTCTCTACAACAAAAACAGAGGCTCTCTCTGTTTCTGGTTTCCAGGAAACTCAAAGAAACGAAAGATGGCGGATGGGCAGCGAAATGGGCTCAGCATCCAACACAAGATACTGTTAGTTGGGGAAGGAGATTTCTCCTTCTCTTTATCTTTGGCTCTCAAATTGGGCTCTGCCTCCAACATGGTCTCCACCTCCCTCGACACCGAATGTACTAAATCGTCTACTCCTGCTAAATTCTTATGTAACTCTGTAAACGATTAATGATTGGAATCTGGATTTCATTATTAGGGGAATTACTCCAGAAATACAACAAGGCCGGATCCAACCTCCAGTTGCTGAAATCGATGGGAGCGCAAGTACTGCACAGCGTGGATGCAACCCAATTGAATGCTACTGCAGAGCTGTGCGGTCGCAAGTTCGACCGCATCATTTTCAATTTCCCGCACGCAGGGTTTCATCGCGGACGCGGCGAAGCGAGTCAGTGGGTCATCGTACAGCACAAGCAACTGGTGTCCAGTTTCTTGAAGTGCGCATCAGGAATGTTGCGGCCCAATGGACAAGTCCATGTGACCCACAAAACTGCACAACCGTTCTGCTGTTGGAACATCGTGGAGCTTGCTCACAGGAGCTCGCTGGTGTTGGTGGAACAGGTCGATTTCAGGGTTGGAGATTATCCCGGTTACAGCAACAAGAGAGGCGACGGTGACAGAGCCGATGAGTCGTTCCCTGTTGGACTCTGTAGCAACTTCAAGTTCGCATTCGATCCTTGTGCTGAAACAGAGGATTGTGAGGCCCATCGCGCTCTCCGTTGCCCACATTCTCGTAAGCATGACGATAAGTTGGCATATGATTTAGAAACGTTAAAGTTTCTGCTTTCTCGATGATGATTGATTGTGATCTATGGAGTTGGTATGAAACATTATGTGATGTGGTGCTTTTTCGTATGTCGTAGCTATTCAAAAAGAGAGTGAGAAAAAGAGTACTATTTCAGTATTTTGTAGTGGTGTTAAGCACCTCAAGCTGGATGCAAATTCAAATTCAAGAGAAATTGAATGTGTTTCTTTTTATCTGTTGGATTGAAAGATTCCAATATGATCAAGTCAGAGATTGCTTTCCTGAAAAGGAAGAATTAAAGAAAATCAAGCTGAAATCAAGGGGGGAGTTGATCAATGGAATCAGGGGGGAGTTGATCTGTGGAATCCTAAATCTTCCTTGACCGAATCAATTTAAAAGACAGAGCTACAACGACTATCTTGAAGAACTATTTAAAGGAAGGCCGAGGATCATTTCAAGTGCTTCATTATGGGATTCTTTGTGGAAAAGGGCAAAGGGTTGGAGAATTGATAGTGGCTTTGATCACAACTGAGGAATAGGTTCAGTTGGTCAAAGGTGTAGCGAATTCCTGTGCGAATTCGGGTCTTGGTTCCATCGCTTTGATTTTCACATTTGCGTCTGTATTGTTGAGTTCTTTTCGTTCTTCTTCATAGAGTCAAGAAAATCAAAGTGTCTCTCGGAATAGTGTCTACTATTCCGGGACGAGGAGTAACCCTGTGGTGAACCTCGTTAAAAATCCCTGTGCCATTTACGTTCTGCAATTTTCTTTGATCGCCATTAACTTCCCTTGTTTCGCGTCTCTTTGTTCTGGTTCGAGCTTCTCAGTGAAGAAGACGATCTCGATCTCTCTTCCTTGAGTTAAGAAGCGGGCCTAGTTGAAAGCTGAGCCCAACAACTTTCCTTTGTGTTTGACGGGCCCCTTCATCATACAACCTAGTTGAAACCAGCACTCAGAAAATGGGTTAAATCAATTTCGGTCAGATTAGAGTCAAATTAACTGCTGACTATTTCCAAGTCAAAATCCCTAATTGCTCTCCATCCATTTCTGTTTCACGAACTCATCTCTTTTACAAGTGGTATCAGAGCGAGCCTGGTTCTTGAAGGAGCTAACTGCTGCCAAGAACAAATCCAGAAGCAATGGGGTCAACCAATTTCGGACAAGCATCATACAATCATCCTCCGGTGTTCACAGAGTCGAATTACACAACATGGAAGAAGAGAATGAAAACCTTTCTGTGGGGAGTCGACGAGGATCTCTGGACGGTGGTGCGTGATGGTCCACTTGCCATGGTAGATGAAGAACAAGGTACCTGGTCGGCCGTCCAAAAGAAGAGCACTCAACTCAATCAGCGGGCTATGCATATCCTTCAATCAGCAATGGCACCTGACGAAGCTGACAAAGTGGAACATTGCGAATCGGCTCGAGAAATCTGGAACTCGCTCGAAAGCACGTACGAAGGGACATCAAATATCAAGGAAACCAGGATCGATCTCCTGGTACATGAGTACGAGTGCTTCGAAATGGCTTTAGGTGAGGGAATTCATGAAATGTATTCTCGATTTACTATTCTTATAAATAAACTAAAAGGGCTAGGAAAGACATATCTTCTTAAGGATCTAAATAGAAAAATCTTGAGGTCTCTGCCTAAACAATGGTTACCGAAATGAACTGCGATTGAAGAAGCCAGAAACCTAAATACCCTATCTATAGATGAATTAATAGGGTCCCTTTTGAGTCATAAGCATGTTCTTAAACAAGTTAACAAGGATGAAGAGAAACGTAAGAAGAGTCTAGCATTTAAATCTCAGGTTGTAGAATATGATTCAGATACTGATCTAGGTGATGGATTCAATAGAGAATTTGCTCTAATAAGCAATAAGTTTCATAGGATGCTTAAATATAAGCAAGAACAGAAGCAGAAGTCCTATGATCGTAATGGTCCTTATCGTGCTAACCCTTTTGACAAAGTCAAAAACACTTTTCAAGATAGGCTGCGTACTCCGCAGACCAAGCGTGTTGAAACAGGGATACTTGAAACACAAGACTGCTACAAATGTGGAAAGCCAGGCCACATTCGTGCAAATTGCCCTCTGACGTTAAGAGCTAAAGAAAAAGCCATGAAGGCAACTTGGAGTCACTATGAGTCTGACGAAGAAGAAGAAGAGGAAGAGGAGAAGGAAAGAGCACTCATGGCGTTTGCTGAACAGGAGTCAACTGTACAACAACCCTACAAATCCTCTGAAGATTCACAGTGGTATCTTGATAGTGGCTGTTCTCATCACATGTCTCGTAAGAGTTATTTGTTCATTTCTCTTACTAAAAAACGTGGAGGTAAAGTAACCTTTGGAGATGATAGTCAGGGAATTATAATTGGTTCTGTCAATATAGGCATAATACCTGGTCCAGTTATTAAAAATGTGTTACTAGTAGAGGGATTAAAGCATAACCTATTGTCCATAAGTCAGCTCTGCAGTAATGGCAATCGAGTTATATTTGAAAATAACAAGTGCTCTGTTGAACAGGTTAATGAAAACAAAATCCTTTTCATTGGTAAGAGAGTTAACAACATGTACACATTAGATGTGTCTGACCTAAGTTTGTTCAATGCTAAGTGTCTTCAAGCTTCATCTACACCTGAGCTTCTTTGGCACAAACGTCTCGGACATGTCAGTATACCTAAATTAGCTGTATTGTCCAAACTTAGTCTAGCCAGAGGAATGCCTAGACTTAAGGATAAAGCTGAATTTTTCTGCAATGCTTGTGCCGCTGGTAAGCATAAAAAGAGAAGTTTTAAGTCTAAATCTGACATCACAACCGTTAGGACTTTTGAGTTGATACATATGGATCTCTTTGGACCTTGTAATGTTACTAGCCTAGGAGGCAAGAACTATGTTTTTGTGTTAGTAGATGATTACTCCAGATTCACTTGGGTATATTTCTTAACTAACAAAGATGAAACCTTTAAGAAGTTTAAGTCCTTCGTCACCATGCATCATCAATCTATAGACATCATTCGTAGTGATAACGGGGGAGAATTTATTTCTAATGTGTTTGATGAACTTTGTGACAAGTTAGGAATCAAACACACCTTTTCTGCTCCAAGTACTCCTCAGCAAAACGGAGTTGTGGAACGCAAAAATAGGACTCTTATTGAGTGTGCTAGGACTATGCTATTAGACTATAACCTGCCTAAGTTCTTCTAGGCAGAATCTGTTAACACTGCTTGCTACATCATCAATCGAGTCTTAGTTAGAACACTGATTAATAAAACACCCTATGAGATCTTAAAAGGAAAAACTCCTAGAATCTCTTATTTCATCCCTTTGGATGTCCTTGTTTTACACTAAATACTCGTGACCATCTCGGAAAATTCGATGCTAAGTCTGACCCATCAACGTTTCTTGGGTATTCTTCTAAGGGTCAAGCTTACAGAGTGTTTAACAAAAGAACTAGAAAAGTATAAGAGTCAGTTCATGTAGTTTTCAATGAAACTGATCTGGTCACTCCAGATCCTACTTTGTTGGTTTATTTAAGTGAACTCACGAACTCTTGCCAAGTTTCATCCAGTGAACCCATCACTACAGTCAAAGAATCAAGTTCCCAAGAGATTCTAGAGCAGCCAGATGTAGCTGCTGAATTACCAAAGGCCCCATCACACATCCAAAAACGGCATCCAGAAAGTCAAATCATTGGGAAACTGAGTGATGGACTGCAAACTCGAGGTAAGTACACTCCTGGACAATATGCATTTGTTTCACAAATTGAACCCAAAAATTATAAGGAAGCATAAGAAGATGAAGAATGGAATTTTGCAATGATTGAAGAACTTACTCAGTTTGAATATCTGCATGTCTGGGATCTTGTCCCTCGTCCTCCAAATGTTATAGTTATAGGAACTAAGTGGATTTTTTGAAACAAATCTGATGAACTAGGGTTTATCATAAGAAACAAGGCTAGATTAGTGGCTCAAGGGTACCTTCAAGAGGAAGGCATCGACTACGATGAAACCTTTGCTCCAGTAGCTAGGATTGAATCTATTAGACTGTTGTGAGCTTTTGCTAGTCACATGGATTTTCCTTTATATCAAATGGATGTCAAAAGCGCATTCTTGAATGGTATCATTCAAGAAGAGGTATATGTGTCTCAAGTCTCAACCCCCTGGTTTTGTTGACTTTGAACATCCTGAGTATGTCTATAAACTTAACAAAGCCTTATATGGTCTCAAATAAGCACCTAGAGCTTGGTTTGAACGTCTCACTGCTTTCTTGATGAAAATTCTTTTACTCAAGGGGGAATAGACAAAACTCTATTCATCAAACAAATAAATGGCAAAATTCTTCTTGTGCAAATATATGTAGACGATATAGTCTTTGGATCTACTCATCCATCTCTGTGCACTGATTTTTGTGATACTATGCAATCAGTTTTCGAAATGAGCATGATGGGGAAGCTTAAATTTTTCCTTGGTCTTCAGGTTAAGCAAACTTCCTCATGAATTTTCATTAATCAGTCCAAGTATCTTCAGAACATGTTTAATAAGTTTGGTTTCAATAATCTTAAGTCTAGTAATACCCCAATGGCCGTGAATATCAAGCTAGATAGGGATGAAACAGGGGTTCCAGTAGATGAAAAGAAGTATAGAGGCATCATTGGCTCATTGCTCTATCTAACTGCCAGTAGACCAGATATTCATTACAGTGTGTGCATGTGTGCACGATTCCAGTCAGCCCCTAAGGAAAGTCATCTAACTGCTATAAAAAGGATTTTTAGATATTTAAAAGGTACTCCTGAGGTTGGTTTATGGTACCCTAAACATAACAATTTCTCTCTAATAGGCTATAGTGATTCAGACTTTGCTGGAAGCCTGACTGATAGGAAAAGCACTACTGGTACGTGTCAGTTTGTAGGAACATCTTTGGTGTCTTGGTCTTGCAAAAAGCAAGGTGTTGTTGCCCTCTCCACTGCTGAGGCAGAATATATTTCCGCAGGCAGTTGCTGTACTCAACTCATTTGGCTTAAGAATCAGCTTAGAGATTATAATGTGATCAC